GTTTTCTACGAGATTTATAGTTTTCTTTTTCGATTTTTTTGAATTATATATTAGTTGCAGTTGATTATATTATTCCATCTTTTTTTGTCAAACTTGTATTATATAATCATCTACCATTTTAAAGTGTAAAGGACCAATCGTGTGTGAATATGGTGTCCAGAGTCTATCAAGTAGAGAGAGACCCCACGTTAACGCATTGTTTTGTAAATTTCCTAATGAAACATTTTTGTTGAAGTTCTTTGTTTATTTACACACATAAATTTGTTATAAAAGTTTCGCCAAACTTATTACTCCCTCTGCCCCAAAATATAAGATGTTTGAAATTTTTAATTTTGTTCCATATTATAAGATTTTTTCAAATTTCTAAGCAAAATTTAATGCATTATGACTATTAATATTCTACAGTATTTTTTCAAACAGATTGAATGTTGAATATTAGTGTTATTATTTTGGTGTGTGGACCAATCAAACAACAAAGCAACCACTATATGTGGATTTTTGTGAGGAAAATTTAAAGAAGAATTGACCTAACGACGATAGTTATAGTTTAATTAACCAAGCTAGGAGATTGTGATCTAATCAATTATTTTAGTATAATTTCATCTCCTCTTGTTGATCCAAAAGTGTCCTTGAAGGGTCATCAAAGATAAATCGTCTTTAAAAGGGTCATTATGGCTTATTTCTAGTTGCCGCTTTTGATTAGTAAAAGATTCGTTACCATTTTAATTTCATTTTCTTCACTCTTGCAATTGGCAATATTTAAACACTCAAAACACAAGTTAATTTGAATTTTAATAACGTGATTTGTAGTGGACCACCAAAATCTCACCACCAAAAAGCTTGTGATTATATAATCTCGTAGTTTATTAATCAAAGTTATCTCAATTTACCATTTCAAATGCTTCAACTTATCGTAATTTACCATTTCAAATATCAAATTGGATTTGATTCCCAAGAACAAAAATAACAAATTTAAAGATCTCTTCGCAAGTAAGACTTACATATTAATTGTGTAATATTATGATTAATTATGTATTTGAATTTACATATTTTTGATGTATTATTGATTCCTTCAATTTTTTTTGTTTTAACGCTTTATTTTAATAAAATTGATTTAGAACAGATTCCTTCAAATTAATAAACGAATTTGACGTTTATATAGTTAAAGGAAACAAAAAACCCTTAAATCACAATGGGCTTATAGTTATGGGTTTGAACTTCAGAGCCCAATAACGTATAGCCTTAAAACGTAAGGGTATAACCGTCATTCGTGACCTGAAGCCCTAATTTCATCGCTTTATATCGTCTCCACACAATCTCCAAAGAACAGTTTTCACACTTTCTTCTCGCCGATTCGCGGATTATTAGTTTTCGTTTTCAAAGTTTTGATTTTAGGTTAGTTTCATACTTTAATCCGTTCTTTTTTTCCGATTTCTTTGATTTTGATTTTGCCCAGTGATGTATAAAACAAGTAATTGAGCGGTTGTATCTGGATAATCTCCGGCAAAAATTGTTGTTGTTTTTATCCCTTTAAAGCCTTAAACACCTCCGATTCGTCGCCGGCGACATTCACACGCGCACATCTCACCCTTCACACACGTGCGTCGGATACGAATCTGTTGTGTTTTTGGCTTTTTAGGGTTTTTTTGCTGGATTTGACCCCATTTACTTGCATCCCGTGAATGATCATTTATATAGCTATGAGATCTGAGGGCTTTCATATAAAGATTCAATTTTTAAGGATTCTTTACTAAAATAGTTTAGGGTTTTTGTTCTCTGTTTCAAATTTGATTTTGTTTTTTTTGCCCAATGATGTGAAAAAGACACGAATTAAATCTTGAGTGGTGCCGTGGTTTCAAAAGTTTTGGTACTTGTAGTTACCATTGCAG